CTATGATTTCTAACCCAATGATAGGAAAGAACATCTTGACAAGTTAAATGTAAAATGTCTGTTGTTATAGTAGATACTATATTAAATGGGGTAAGCTTGGTCATTATGTCAGATGCTAATTGTGTCTATGTACCAAAAACCAAATTAACACACAACAATGTCCCTTGACAAGTCTTTAACTTGTTTGTCATGAGCTAGAATAAAAATACAAAGCAGTTGGATATGTTAAATATGTTACAACACAAAGCAGTTGGATATGTTAAATTCTTTTTGTATATAATAATTTATTGTGCTTTTGTGTATGGTAATGATGATAAAACATCAAATATAAATCTCATTATATACTTGATAAAAATACAAATCATGCAATATAATTTTGTGCATTTATAGTTCTATGATTTAAAACACTCCAGAAAAACAAACGAGATGATAGAGGCTGTTATTATTTGTGACTTTGAAGTCCTTCCCTCGTCTCCATCTGAGCTTGTAAAACCTGTCTACCTGCTCCGCTGAGGGGACAGACTTAATATAATTAGTTAATATTAACAGCAACTTACATTTAAAGTAAACAATATAGTTTGATAGACATTTGTCTACATTAGTATTCAGAACAGAGCAGAACTGAACAAAGGTTTACCCGCTAACCAGTCAGTGTTTATAAGTTAAAACAAGCTAACCAGTATTGCTAACCAGATAAAATAAGTATTTACGCCAAGATGTAAACGTGGGAAGCCTCACAGAAGTAAGTTTGTGTTATTTATATGTAATGTAATTTAGCGACAGTATTGTAATATGTATTTGTTGTACCCTCAATGTGGAAAAAAGCGAACGTTATCCCTGTTCCAAAAAAATCAGTCCCTAAAGACATTTCTAAAGATTTGCGCCCTATCTCACTTACCCCCACTTTATCCAAAATTTGCGAACGGTTTGTTACAGACTGGTTACTTAAGTCAATTGGTGCAAAGATTGATACGCGGCAGTTTGGCTCCGTTAAAAATTCCTCGGCCACCCATGCCCTACTGAGCCTGATCCATCACCTCCTGAGTGCTACAGATGCTTCAAGCAATGCGGTGAGAGTATTCTTGCTTGATTTTGAAAAAGCTTTTGATCGAATAGATCACAACATACTGGTGAATAAGCTACAACAAATGAGTGTTTCCCAAACCATTATAAATTGGATTAGAAGTTTTCTCTCTGATCGTAAACAACGAGTCAAGTTGGCTAACTGTCATTTGGACTGGCAAACGTTAAACGGTGGAGTGCCGCAAGGGTCGGTGTTAGGGCCGGCTTTGTTCCTTGTTATGATAAATGATCTTCTTATTGATTGGAGCGATAGATGGAAGTATGTTGATGACAGTGCGTTTGCTGAACGAGTTACATCAACTGAGAGTAGTGAACTACAAGATCTAGTGAATGTTATCTATAATTGGTGGGAAGTTAATAATATGAAGCTCAACATCGGCAAATGTAAGGAAATGGTAATTGACTTTGCAAGAGAAAAACATGAGTTTTTACCGTTAACTATAAATAACGTTGGTATTGAGCGGGTAAAATCTGCCCGAATTCTTGGTCTCTCAATCCAAGATGATTTGAAATGGAACGAGCATGTGAACCATATTGTTAAAAAAGCGGGAAAACGCCTTTATATGCTAAGGTTGTTAAAACGATCAAATGCCGACAATAGCATTCTAATTTTGGTATACTGCACCATTATCAGACCAGTACTCGAATATGCCTGCCAAGGTTGGCACTTCAATATTACAGAATACCTAAGTGAAGATATCGAAAAACTCCAGAAGCGGGCTCTGCGTATTGTCTTGCCATTCGCTACTTATAGAGAAGCTTGCAGTATTACTGGTATACCCTTACTGAAAGATCGGCGGCGATTATTATGCGAACGTTTTTTTGTTAAAAATGCACATGGAGACAAATTGGGTGACCTCTTACCGCCTAAACTTGAACATAACTACAATACACGTTATGGAAGCGATTATAATAACTACAGGGTGTATAAAAAAAAGCGCAATCCTCGACTGAAATGTAAATTGCTAAACAAATAATAGACGAAAACGTTAAAGTTTACATTCATTTTAAAGCGTAGCCATTCAGCTTTCTAACAGTGGGTTGTTTCTTAAATTTGACTCATTGGTTCGCGGGTAATAATACTTTACGTTATTGCGATTGGAGATTAAAAAAATTGAGATGGAATAACAAATCGTTCTCATGAAAATAACTGATTTTTTCATTAAAACAAAAAAATGTTGCATTTTATTAAATGGATTGTAACAATAAGTACAATTACGGCTTTTCTTCCACTATTTTTAACTCAGTTTGAAACTTCAAATGCGATATAATTTTGGCTTGGACCATCTAAGCTGACTGACATCAACTTGCTATAATTTCTGTTTACATTACATCGTAATTCGATGACACTCTGGCTCAGACACCAGAATGTTTTGACGATTTTTAGCATTCGTTTAGGATTTCAAACAACCTGGTCTCTTTTAAAATACTTTTAATTTGTTCTTACGTGGTTTTCCAGATGTAGTGACGACAACATTAAAGTTTAAAGAAGAAAATTCTAACATTTAAACTGACTAAACAATAACATAGTAAACTTGCATAATTAAACAGCAACTAAAAATGATAGGTTTTACTAAATCTTTTCCTGTGCAATTATTACTAGCATTGGAGACAAGGATAATAGTTTGTTTGAAAGAGAAAAGAACAGGCTTTGAAGTAAGCCTAAAAGCGTTTAACTATAAATAGTATTTCGAAAGTTATTAAGCACAAAAGATGAATTGCGTTTATTTTGATACACCCTGTATAGTTGTAAAACGGACAGATTTATGAAATCGTTTTTTCCACAGATGGTTTCACATATGAATAGACCATAATTTTAATATTTTTAATATTTTTAAATTTGAACTCTATAACTTTTTCAACTGAAGTTATGAATAATTTTATGCATCTAGATATTCTATTGTAGTATAATGAGACTTTTTACTGATGTAATTTAACCTAATAGGTTACAAATCGGTATTTTATTAAATTATTAAATTATTATTATGAATAAGAATCTATTAAGAATTATAGTATACGATTCAATCCTTCGTTTATATCTAAGAACAAGCACGTTGAGCTAAGAACGCCCCATCATTCGATTTCTATATGGTGTTATTAAACTGCTAAAAGGGCGCGACGAGCGAGACACGAACAGTTTACTAAAATATCAGAGTTATTAAAAGAAGCTAAGATCGGTCGTAGAAATGCCAAAGAAACGTTCACTAGAGCAGGGAAAACATTAAGACATGCACTCCACGTACAGCGACCAGCAGAGGAGGTTAAACAATCGCTAACTAAGCTACAAGAAGCGTATGAAAAATGGATAACTGAACACGAAGAACTTACTAAGTTAATCGAAGACGATGCGGAATTCGAAACGGAAGAAGCCTGGCTAGCTGAGTGTCAGGAAGCTTTTATGAATTTTGAGATAGAAGGCAAAAAACATCTAGATGAAGCTGCAAAACAAGTAAGCGAAGAAAATATAACGAACAGTCAGCCTAGCGCGAGTGCAAGTGACGCTCATAACGAAATAATAGCGATCAAAATGAAAACAACAATGTTAATTTAGAGCAAGTTTT